TGTCGGTGTTGTTGCTCCAGCTGAGGTTGTCATTCAGGTGCACACCCAAGCACTTGCAGCTGGAGACCACCTCCACCGCAGATCCTCCCACGTTCAGGGGGGTATATGTGTGCCCATTCCCTCCGAAGTCCACAACCATCTTCCCTGTCTTCCTCACATTGAGGCCAAGGCTATTTTCCTTACACCAGCTCTCCAGGTGCTCCACCCCCCGCCCGCAGCCGGACCCATCATTGCCCGTGATGCATCCCACCACCGCTGCACCATCTGCAAACTCTACAATTTGACAGCCTGGATGGGTAGCTGCACAATCACACGAAAGCAGAACAAACAGGAGAGGGCTCAACACACATCGCCGAGGAGAGCCAGTGTCGAGGGCCACAGTGGAGGAGGAGAAGCTGCGGACCCCCACCGACCGCGGTCCATTTGTTAAGAAGTCTAGTACCCAGTTGCAAATGGCGGGGCCCAGTCCCAGCGTGAACAGTCCGTCCATCAGGGTCTGGGGGACCACGGTGCCGAAGGCATACGCAAAGTCCACAAAGAGCATATGGACGTAAGAGTCCCTCTGCTCCAGGTGGGTGAGAGCAGCGCGGTCCACAGAGGAAACGGCACCCTCCGCTGATCAGCCCCCGTGGCACGCGCACTGGTGAGGGCTGACGCCGATGGCCGCCTCGATGTGGGCCACGACGTGTCCCCCAAAGCATTTTGCGACCATTGGGGTGAGGGCCACCGGCTGACAGTCACCTAGACCAGTCACTGTAGAGCTCTTTGGGACTGGGATGACTGTGGCAGTCCTCAGGCAGATGGGAACCGTCTCCAGGATAAGTGAGGTGTTAAAGATGTCTGCCAGCACCTCACAGAGCTGATCAGCACACCCCCACAACACTCTTCCGGGGATGTTGTAGTCTGCAAATCTCTAATTTTTCACGATGCTGATGTTTTTTTCACCTCTTGTTCATCGTGTCATTCTAGTGGAGTAAATGTAGAGCTCAAGGTCCTCCTTAAAGTTGACGTTGGACTTCTTAGCTACCATATTCCTGATCTCAGCATTTAAAAGTTTCTGCAGGACCACCACACAAAGTTTGGTAGTTATGGGTGTGCTGTTTGCACATGCTCTGTGTCGTTTCTGTAACTTCTTACTCAGATGGACGAATATGTGATGTCTACACCAGATAAATTTAGGTGATGCTTACAGGCAAAGGCTTCTGTAAAGTCAGCCAATCAGATAAAAGTGGGCTAACATGGCTTTTTTCAGCTGCAGAAAGGGCCAGTATGAGATAAAATTAAGATCTTTGAGTGTGACTCACGCCAGGCCACTCTAGTAAACACTCACATAGAGATGAAAATGAGCATCTACTTTATTCTAAATAGATGCATCTTTGTTTCCAGGATTTTTGCTTAGCTGAGTGACTTGCCATCTGGCTGTAAACATGCAAATATGTAAACACAGGTATGAGTTGTCTTGAAAGTAAATAGAATTAATTGATAATTTCAAATAATATGAACTGTGTTTCTTTGAACATTTCAAATCAGCAACGAGCATGCATGGTTATTATAAAAATAGTGATTTTAGGTATTTAAAACCAGTCTAAGTTACTATACTTTCATGATAAAAGCTCAGATGATTTGTATCTGACATCAGAAAATGCTGATTGAACCTTTGGTGTTTTTGATTCTTTTAGTATGTTTTAATACCTTTTTTTAAAGTTCTTACTAGAGTAATTTTCAGGTTGATAACATCATGCTAATATACCCATGATATATGCTTTATTAATTTATTCATTTTCCTTCTATAGCATAAGTGGGCATAAGTAATGAGCAATATGAGGAGGCATGTGGTACCAAACTCTTTCCATCAGCAGGTGGCTCAAAGGCCTTGGTCCCTGACTGAAAGAGCCCTGCGGTACTAAACTGCTGGTGCCATAATTGAGGAATTGCCATATAAAAATGTCCAAGGAAGGCCAGGGATGGTTTAATTATGTTGTGAAATTTAATTAGACTTGTGTTGTGCGTGTGCCTGTTTTCTACCAGGTGACCTTGATGTAATAGTGTTTTTAATGTGTTTATCATCCATTGTGTGCAAACATTTTACGGTTTCATTTCCTGTGGTTTGAATGAGTGGATATTCACACCAACAGAATAAATTATCCTGAAAATTATCAGTTCAGACTCACATTTTAATGATTTAACAGAAACTGGTAATGCGGACATTTGTTGTTTGTCTATAACGAGCTTTCCAATTATCTTAGCTTTTCCTGCAGGTGACGATAGGATGGCATTGAGTCTGCGTATATTTTCAGGCAATTGTTTTTCAGGTTATTAAGTTTGGTGCAGAGGTAAATGGCTGATGACAGCATTGTTGTCACACTTTTCTCACTTAAACTCACCCGTCTTAAAAATAAATACAGATCATCTCGGGTTTATGGTCAGAAACTGAGGCAGGGTCATCTAAAGATTATTACTAGAATAAATACATACACCGAATATATACACTGAGCAAAAATATAAATGCAGCACTTTTGTTTTTGCTCCCATTTTTCATAAACTGAACTCTTTCTGTCAAATATATATATATTTTTTTTTTTTTTACAAATTTCTGTAAATCTGTGTAAGTGAGCACTTCTTTGCTAAGATAATCCATTCACCTCAAAGGTGCAGCAAATCTAGATGCTAATTATACAGCATGATTATTGCACAGGTGCGCCTTAGGCTGACCACAATAAAAGGCCATTCTAAGATTAGCAGTTTTGTCAATTGTCACACAGCACGATGCCACAAACGTAAGTTTTGAGGGAGCGTGCAGTTGGCATGCTGCCTGCAGGAATGTCCACCAGAGCTGTTGCCCGTGAATTGAATGCTCTAGCATAAGCCGGCCCGTCTCTAAAGGCGTTTCAGAGAATTTGTCACCGGCTTCACAACCGCAAACCACGTGAAACCACACCAGCCCAGGAACTCTACATCCAGCATCTCCACCTCCAAAATCATCTGAGACGAGCCGCCCGGACAGCTGCTGCAACCATCGGTTTGCACAACCAAATAATTTCAGCACAAACCGTCAGAAACCGTCTCAGGGAAGCTCATCTGCATGCTCATCTTCTTCATCTGGGTCTCCACCTGACTGCAGCTTGTCGCCATAACTGACTTGACTGAGCAAATGCTCAGATTTGATAGTGTATAACACATTAGAGGTTCTCTCCATAGATGAATGCCAGATTTCACTGTACAGGTCAGATGACTGACCTCTTGTATGGCGTTGTGTGGGTGAGCGGTTTGCTGATGTCAACGTTATGAATCGAGTGGCCCATGATGGCATTGTGGTTAAGGTAAGGGTAGGCGTATCATGTTATAGACAATGAACACAGGTGCATTTTATTGATGGCATGTTGAATGCACAGAGATACCATGACGAGATCCTAAAACCTGTTGTTGTGCCATTCATCCACGACCATCACCTCATGTTGCAACATTATAATACATGGTCCCATGTTGCATGGATCTGTACGCAATTCCTGGAAGCCGAAAACGTCCCAGTTCTTGCATGGCCAGCATACTTGCCGGAAATGTCACCCATCGTCAAATTTGGTGGCTTGTTCCGATTCCTGATGATATTCAGCAACTTCGCACATTGAAGAGAAGTGGACCAACATTTCATAAGCAACAATCAACTTCCTGATCAACTCTATTCTAAGAAGATGTATTGCTCCTCCATTGCATGAGGCTAATAGGGATTACACCAGATACCCCCCAAAAGTAAACTGCACATTTTAGAGTGGCCTTTTATTGTTGTCAGCCTAAGGCATACCTGTACAATAATCCGCATCTTGATATGCCACATCTGTTAGGTGGATGGATTATCTCGACAAAGGAGAAGTGCTCATTAACACAGATTTTCACGAATTTGTGAACAATATTTGACAGAAAAACGCCTCTTCTGTATATAGAAAAAACTTTTAAATCTTTGAGTTCAGCTCAGGAAAAAATGGGAACAAGAACAAAAGCGTTGCATTTATATTTTTGTTCAGTGTACTAATGTTTCCTGTAGATGGACTGTATTCTTTACTGAAACAAGTACTTTTATATGTTGCTCATTTTTGAAATTGATCTTTCATTTTAGGCAGAAAGGTAGATATAATTGTCATGTGACGAACAGACTGTTGATGTTAACCATAGTTAGCACAACTTACTCCTTGAAAAGAAGGAATAGTAATTGGAAGAAAACCACTACATCTGGAGTTTTTTGAATATTATCGTCAGACCTGATCACAATGCTATGGAGCAGATGGTTCTGCTGCGGAGAACATATACCTGGTTTAATATTTAACTGTGGTTAGAACGTTGTTGGTGGTCTTAAGATCTACAGGAATCAAATAAACTTAAAAAATTACTGGCGACAATTAGTTTTAACTGTTATCAAGTAATTTAGAAAAGTCTGTTGTCATGAACGGATTTATTTCAATGATTCACTACTTGTTAAGTGATTTATTTGCAATATTTTCATACTTGAATTAGGGATTCAAGTCTTTCAAATCACTTATGAGACTTTGCAGTTTTAATGTTGTGGGTCAAATGCTTAAAAAGTTAGGAACTGCTGTTCTGGGTTACTTTCTGCCTAAAATTAGATCTTATTAATGAACTGCATTTTTAAATAAAATATTGATAGGTTTTAAACATCATTCCAGCTCTTCTGATCAGGAGTGATGCCGTGTGGCTTTTAGTGGTTGACTCTTCTGGCTGCACATCAGCTTTCATATTTTTAATGTGATAATGAATTAGACATTTACCTCTGTGTTTATAGTTTCGCTGCGTAAAAACACAAGTATCCTAGAAGAAGATTGATAACAGAAAAAGAGAAAATATTTGTTTTGTATTGCTTATTCTCTACTTTTAGGTTTAGTTATAAAGTATATTTCTGCTGTCCTTTGCTATGAAATTTTCAATGTTTTCTTGAAGCATTAAAACAGCTTCAGATGTTTTAAAATGGTTGTATTTTTTTTTATTTTCAGGCGCTGGACCAGGATCGAACGTCTCTGCAGAAAGTGAAGAAATCCGTGAAGGCAATCTATAGTTCAGGTCAAGGTGAGACTGCATGTTTTATTTTTAACGTCCTCATGTCTCAATCTGTCCTGGCTTCTATTTTTGTTCATTTTCACAACCTTCTCCTGGAAAGCAACTCCAGAAAAAAGCCAAGGATTTTGGGGGCATCACCAATATTTTTGTGCCTGGAACATCTTCTGTGGGACAGATTGTGCAGATTTTTAAGGTTGACCTAGAAATCAGCACCTGAGTTTGTTTTTGGTCGTTGCTGAGTCGCAGGTTTGCAGTAATTTTCCACTGAATGTTTAGGAAAAGTTTGAGATATTAGTTGTTTTTCCTCGAGAACGAGCTTACCCCTTTCAAAAGTAACACTTTTAATGTTTGCAGGAAAACTGCTACAACAACCTGAAACCTCTGTTCTTTGAGTTACCATCTTACAGTTGTTGCTTTTGGAAGTGCAACAAATAATGCAACCTGAAAACAGAAACATGAGTTGGATGTTTGCTCATTTTTGTTTGTGTATAGACAATACCTTGATACTTTTGTCCTCATGGGGAAATAGGTTTTGGACTCAGCGCTGACCTGGTAGCTTTTTTTTAACAAAAGAGCCATGCATATAAAGATGTAAAACAAACCTACACAATATAAACGTGAGCTACCAGTATGAAACACTGCACAGTTTCCGTTAAAAAACAAAACAAAACAGGACTGTAGTATTGTATAACCACTATTATAGTCTATGTTGCACAGTTGAGATCGAGAGGGACAAAATCCGCAATTACCCCGAACGTCCACGTCTAGACTGTGATGCTTGAGTTTAAATTCAAACCCTAAAGCTTCCCTTTAATTTGGCAACATTGACAGAAATGCAGGCAGAAGTGATCTGATTTCAATGTAGTCACATAAGCGCGTGGTATTTAAAAATATACGGTTTAATTTCATGTCACGTGGCAATGTAGTTTTCCATTTAACAGCAGAATACAGAGGAACTGTTTAGTCAAGTATACAGCCTATAATTGTGCAGCAACAAACTTTTCTTTAGACATAAACACCAAATCTGCCAGCTTGTGCACATTTTGACTTTAACATGTATTGTTTGTCTTCACCCTTTAGAGGAAAAATCAACTTTTAAGCAAAGATAATTGACAGAAGTGTCATTACAGTAGGCAGGACCCACACATCAAGAGGGGCTCTTGAATGTTTTCATGCCCATCTTGTCTATGGTTATAGTTTCTTAAGTGAGAGGGATTATTTCACAATTTAAAGAAAAGTAAATGATTTGAAATGAGTGAAAAATTAGGATTGTGAGTTTAAATGAAAGTTAGCCTGTCAAGTAGGTAAAGTATTCATTGATGCCAAACTAGTTAAAATAATGAAAAGAGTGGGTCTTATGTAAGAAGAAAGAATGGCTGGCAACAAAATCAAGGTACAGTAATCCCCCAGTCATATATTCCAGACAACACCGCGATAAGTGAAAAATCGTGAAGTAGTAACTCTATTTCTTTTAGTATTTACCGGTTTATATATATTTTAAGGCTTTGTAAACCCTTCCCACACTCTTACAATGTTCTAAACTCTTAAACCTACGTAATTTTAACAACATACGTATATGTATGCTGGTGAAGATTCTCAGTCATCCAGGGCATGATGAATTCAAAAAGCGTTCAATACAAAAACAGCTGGACTTTATTTGTAACAGAAGACGTTTCGCTCCTATGAATTAGAGTAACAAAGACTTTAAGAAGCCCCATACTGTTAAGGTGTGGAGGTGTGACTTATCAAATCTACGTGTGTGTGTGTCTTATCTCACTCAGCCTTATAACCTGAATCTCTCACTCACTGCTCATTGAATTGAAAAAGCTCCTCGGATGAGGTGTGAAACGTCTTCTGTTACAAATAAAGTCCACTTGTTTTTGTATTGAACGCTTTTTGAATACGTATATGTACTGTACAGTAGGGGTCGCACGACTACATATTTTTTAAAGTCGACTTCAACATGATAAAAGTCTACATCGATTTATCACTGTGACGTCATAGGAACTCAAGACGCTATATCATATTCACAAATGAAGTGAAATATTTTATTTCACTTTATTGAAAATAAACATTTGTTTGTTTTGAACCAAACAAATAAAGTTTGGTTCAAAACGTTAGCACAGTGCTGTATATTCAGTGTGAATTTTTGATACAGTGTAATTATGCGAACAAGAAACAATTTGAAAAGTCTTTGTATAATGAGGTTAAAAGATGTTGTAAAAGTCTGGGCTGTTTTTTCGTTGATTTGGCCGGCTCTAATCATCTTTATGTAAGGAAACACTTAAAACACGGAGAGGAAAAGCACAAAATAAATAAAAACCCTCAGCCCCATTTTGTTAGAGTTTCCAGTCCAATAAATGTTTAAAATGTTTCAAGCACAACAGGTTTCTTGTCTCACCTGACCTCCACCTCAGACTTCTTCTCTAAAACTGGCAGTAGTCTAAAACCCTCTCCCCCTCCATCAACATCTTAATGACAAGGACAGATGCATGCTGCTGCTTGACTGACTGCTCCTGAAAAGTTTTATCCACCAGGAGAACCACACATCTTCTTTGACTGACATAAATATTGTATATAAATGCTTTCCAATGTTGAAATTCCCAAAACAAAATACTTTGTGTGGAAAATGTTGATCAGAAGTCATGGGTGGATGTCTGTTCTTTTATTGGTCATGTTGCTGGGTACATGAAGGAACTTTCCATCGCTGAATACTTTAATTTCTACCACATCTGTATTATAAGTTTAACAAATCTCTTTTTGATCCAGGTGTGTCTCATACACCAGACCACACTAATGTTGATCTCCTATAACCAATACTTTGTCTTGCTTTTCTTTTAACTTTAGTTGTGGATATGTGGTTTAAAGAGTTTGGATTTCAGTACTTTAGTAAGAAATTATCACAGAGTCACAAGAGTGTTATTATGAATGTGCCACAGTTCAATTTCTCAGGTGATGTGGCTGCTAAATCGTCAGTAACACTCACCTAGATGAGAGAAATGTTGATTTATTTTGTTTTTTGTATATGAAATGACAAATGATAATACTGCTTTATACTTGAGGAATGCTAATTTTTAACAAAAGTCCCAATTCAGTTTCACCATTTGGCCACCATATACAGTATATATATTTTCAGGTCGACAATACGAGCTGTGGTCCTATGTGCAATTTCATGGTTAACTTTAAATAACAACGACAGGTAAACGATTTTCAGATGGATGTGATAAAAAAAATTAAAATATATATATAAATCTATAGTATTTTTGCGATTATGTAAGATCTAAAATTGTGTTTTCAACAAAGTTAGCTGCTCTGTAGAGACAGGGTTTTACATCAATTTATCTCTATACATAGTATTAGGGATGCACGATATTGGATTTTTGGCCGATATATTAAAACTTATTTGGCCGATACCAATACCATTTTTTGTTTTTTTGTTTTAGACCTACTTACAGAGACTACATAGCTTTCTCTGCTGTGGAATTAAAATACTACATTATTCTGTATGGTCTGTGTCAATCTGGTCTGCTACCAAATGTAGATACCAAAAAGGGGGCTGAAAATTATGTAACACTATATAAATATATAATATATATATACAAAAACAGCACCTTTTATATTTGTAAGTTATTTTGATGGAATGGCCGATGTCCGATATTTAACTTTATTGCTAATATCGGCTGATACAGATACCATGCCGATAATATTGTGCATCCCTATAGAGTATTGTGATTAAAGTCATAAGGTTTTCATTAGTTAATGCTTATCTTCCATTGCGTTAGGTAAAATATGTGTTGCACCACATCCTTCTCTTTTTTTGCTTATTTTAAGACGCGTCTCTTGAGTCTTTCTGCTCGGCAGATGATAAACTGACAACTTGTTTCCCCTCTCGTCGCTTTCCAACACAGATCATGTTCAAAATGAAGAAAACTACGCCCAAGCTCTGGATAAATTTGGTAGCAACTTTATCAGCCGGGACAACCCTGACCTGGGAACAGCCTTCGTCAAGTTCTCCTCCCTCACCAAGGAGCTGTCTGCTCTTCTGAAGAACCTGGTGAGTCTGACATGTCAGCGAGTCACGGTAAACTCAATCAGTTAGAGACAGAGACAGTCCTGCTGAACGCTGCTGCCATACTCAGACAGTAGGAGGAAAAATATCCTTACACAGCTTGCTTTTCCTGTCTTCACCTGCATAAATGCTTCAGGATTTGGGTTAAAGGTAGAGATTAGGATTATATTCACTGAAGAGTCAAGTATATTATAAATTGACTCAGGCTTCAGTCTATTATTTAATTTACCTAAAGCCTTTTCTGTGTTTTCCCCGACATTCTCTTATCTACCCACTGTGGATTTCCCATGACGTTTCTGTTAAATAAATGTTTAAATCCTTTTGGAGTGATAGTTGGAAGAAAAACCAAATCCTGATATTTTTTCTCTTCCTGTGTGGTTGACGGTGAGATTAGCCTCAATAAATTCACTGGGCAGCACCAGGAACTGTTGGTGCATACACACTCGCCTTTCTGTGTAACCAGTGTATTGTGGAAACGTGAAATTATCTTTTTTTAGTTGCTTTCTCTGTTTGACTTTTAATTTATTTATTGAGTTTTTACACTTCCATAGCTGCACCCTGGGGACAACTGATGTGACAAATTGGTATTGATGAATAAGAGTGTGACCTTGATGTCCTATATGAGCTACCAGCTATAACACAGGATTTTACCAACAGATTTATGCACCTTTTATCTATTTATACATCCTTCCTGTGAATCATGTTTGAAAAGCAAAAAATGACTGACTGCTTTCAAGACGAAAGGCCAGTGAAAGATTGATTTTGATGCTATCCATATGCAAGATAGGCACTTAAGAAGTACATTAGTACCCATTAGATGTTGTTTTTTTCTTGGCCACTTTTGTATATCAGTGTGGACCTGGCTCACAACAGCAGGGACTTAAATGCTTAGTCTTATTGTATATGACCTTGCTGATCCTTCCGGTTAGAGCTGCTGAGCAAAGCTGAGGCAACAATAGCTGGAGGACACGTCAAGTTTTTTTTCCTAAATCTTATATAAACTTGGAAGAGGTTTGCTTTTTTCCCTCAGTTGACATCAGCAAGAACATGTTTAGCTTTTGCACAACAAAAAGCTTTGCTTTATATTTGATTTAATAAACATTTATGCTCTTGTCTTTTTCTTACTTTTTATTACCCAAGCTACAAAATACCACGGGACAAATAAAATGATGCTTAAACTGTAGCAATAAATTCACATAAAATCATTGCCTAACCAGTTTTGGCTTAGTATTTCATCCATCTATCCATCCATCCATTTTCTTCCGCTTATCCGGGGTCGGGTTGCGGGGGTAGCAGCCTAAGTAGGGAGGCCCAGACTTCCCTCTCCCCAGCCACTTGGTTCAGCTCCTCTGGGGGAATCCCGAGGCGTTCCAAGGCCAGCCGAGAAACATAGTCCCTCCAGCGTGTCCTGGGTCTTCCTCTGGGTCTCCTCCCTGTGGGACGTGTCCAGAACACCTCACTAGGGAGGCGTCCAGGAGGCATCCTAAACAGATGCCCGAGCCACCTCAACTGGCTCCTTTCGATGTGGAGAAGCAGCGGCTCTACTCTGAGTCCCTCCCGGATGATCGAGCTTCTCACCCTATCTCTAAGGGAGAGCCCAGACACCCTGCGGAGAAAACTCATTTCGGCCGCTTGTATCAGAGATTTCGTTCTTTCGGTCACAACCCAAAGCTCATGACCATAGATGAGGGTAGGAACGTAGATCGATCGGTAAATTGAGAGCTTCGCCTTTTGACTCAGCTCTCTCTTCACCACGACAGACCTGTACAGCGCCCGCTTCACTGCAGACGCTGCACCTATCCGCCTATCGATCTCTAGTTCCATTTTTCCCTCATTCGTGAACAAGACCCCAAGATACTTGAACTCCTCCACTTGGGGCAGGACCTCCTCCCTGACCCGGAGAGGGCACTATACCCTTTTCCGGCTCAAGACAATGGCCTCAGATTTGGAGGAACTGATCCTCATCCCGGCCGTGTCGCACTCGGCTGCGAACCGCTCCAGTGAAAGCTGTAAATCACGATCTGATGAAGCCAACAGGACCACACCATCTGCAAAAAGCAGAGATACAATCCTAAGGCCACCAAAACGGATCCCCTCAATACCTTGGCTGCACCTAGAAATTCTGTCCATAAAAGTTATGAACAGAATCGGTGACAAAGGGCAACCTTGGCGGAGTCCAATTCTCACCCGGAACAAGCCCGACTTACTGCCGGCAATGCGAACCAGGCTCTGACACCGGTCATACATGGACCTAACAGCCCGTATCAAAGGGCCCGGTACCCCATACTCCCAGAGTACCTCCCACAGGGTTCCCTGAGGGACGCGGTCGAACGCCTTCTCCAAGTCCACAAAGCACATGTAGACTGGTTGGGCAAACTCTCACGCACCCTCCAGGACCCTGCTGAGAGTGTAGAGCTGGTCTAGTGTTCCACGACCAGGACGAAAACCGCACTGCTCCTCCTGAATCTGAGGTTCGACTATCCGATGGACCCTCCTCTCCAAAACCCCTGAATAGACCTTACCAGGGAGGCTTAAGAGCGTGATCCCCCTGTAGTTGGAACACATTTTACGGTCCCCCTTTTTGAATAGGGAAACCACCACCCCGGTCTGCCAATCCAGGGGAACTTCCCCCGATGTCCACGCAATATTGCAGAGTCGCGTAAGCCAACACAACCCTACAACATCCAGAGTTTTAAGGAACTCCGGGCGAATCTCATCCACTCCTGGGGCCCTAACACCGAGGAGCTTTTTAACCACCTCAGTGACCTCAGTACCAGAGATTGGAGGGCTCGACCCAGAGTCCCCAGGCTCTGCTTCCTCAGTGGAAGACTTGCCGGTGGGATTGAAGAGGTCTTCAAAGTATTCTGCCCACCGACCCACGACATCCCGAGTGGAGGTCAGCAGCACACCACCCTCATTATAAACAGTGTTGGTGGTGTACCCCCCCCCCCCCCCCCGAGACGCCTGATGGTGGACCAGAATCGCCTCGAAGTCGTGCGGAAGTCATTCTCCGTGGCCTCTCCGAACTCCTCCCATGCCCGAGTTTTTGCCTCAGCGACCACCCGAGCCCCATGTCGCTTGGACTGCCGGTACCCTTCAGCTGCTTCCTGTGTCCCACAGGCCAAAAAGGCCCGATAGGACTCCTTCTTCAGCCTGACGGCATCCCTCACCGACGGTGTCCACCATCGGGTTCGAGGGTTGCCGCTGCGACAGGCGTGACATCCTTGCAGCCGCAGCTCCGATAAGCCACCTCGATAATAGAGGCACGGAACATGGCCCACTCGGACTCAATGTCCCCCACCTCCCCCGGAACGTGTTCAAAATTCTCCCGGAGGTGGGAGTTAAAGCTCCGTCTCACAGGAGACTCTGCCAGACATTACCAGCAAACCCTCACAATACGTTTGGGTCTGCCAGGTCTGACCGGCATCCTCCCCCACCATCAGAGCCAACTCACCACCAGGTAGTGATCAGTGGACAGCTCCGCCCCTCTCTTCACCCGAGTGTCCAAGACATGTGGCCGCAGATCAAATGAGATGATGACAAAGTCGATCATCGAACTGCGGCCTAGTGTGTCCTGGTGCCAAGAGCACATATGGACACCCTTATGCTTGAACATGGTGTTCATTCTGGACAATCCATGATGAGCACAGAAGTCCAACAACAGAACACCATTCGGGTTCAGATAAGGGGGGCCGTTCCTCCCAGCCACATCCCTCCAGGTCTCACTGTCATTGCCCATGTGAGCATTGAAGTCCCCCAGCAGAACAAGGGAGTCCCCAGGAGGTGCACTTTCCAGTACCCCCTCCAAGGACTCCAAAAAGGGCGGATAATCTGAACTGCCGTTTGGTGCATAAGCACAAACGACAGTCAGAACCCGTCCCCCCCACACATAGACGGAGGGAGGCCACCCTCTCATTCACCGGGGTGAACCCCAACACACAGGTACCAAGATGGGGGGCAATAAGTATGCCCACTCCTGCTCTGCGCCTCTCACCAGGGCCAACTCCAGAGTGGAAGAGTGTCCAACCCCTCTCAAGGAAACTGGTTCCAGAGCCAGAGCCATGCGTAGAGGTGAGTCCAACTATTTCTAGCCGGAACCTCTCAACCTCACATACCAGCTCAGGCTCCTTCCCCACCAGTGAGGTGACATTCCATGTCCCAATAGCCAGCTTCTGTAGCCGAGGATCAGACCGCCAGGGTCCCTGCCCTCGGCCACCACCCATCCCACATTGCACCCGACCCCTTTGGCCCCTCCCACAGGTGGTGATTCCATGGGAAGGGGGACCCACGTCTCCTCTTCGGGCTGTGCCCGGCCGAGCTCCATGGGTAAAAGCCCGGCCACCAGGCGCTTGCCCGCGTGCCCCACCTCCAGGCCTGGCTCCAGAGTGGGGCCCTGGTGACCCATGTCCGGGCAAGGGAGCATTAAGTCCAATTCTTTTATTCATCATAAGGGTGTTTGGCTTAGTATTTTATCTTAACAATTCAATGGTTTTTGATTGAGACTAATTTTTATAAGTCTGCAACACACTGCTTTTATAGTGCCAAATGTTAACTATTTTACACTCTACAGACTCTTAATTAGCAAAGAAAGTCAGATGAATAGCAGGAATCTGGAGGTTATGAATATAACCAATGTTCCCTGAGGGAAGGAAACAAGGTACAACACATTAGTATGGGGATTGCGCCCTCGCGAGACCAACCTGAAGAAGTTTCTTTCAACACGCCTGTCAAGGCAAATGAGACTGCTGCATATACCGGAGGCCCCGCCCTCCTGGCCTATAAATATGCAGCCAGGTCTCATTTCCCTAATCTGCATGCACTTTACCGAGCTTCTAGAGCATAGAGGGGCTCACTCGTGTTGTACCTCGTTTCCCTCCCTCAGGGAACATTGGTTATATTCATAACCTCCAGTTCCCTTTCGGTCGGTACACTCGGTACAACACATTAGTATGGGGACCTACCCTCACGCCCCGAAAATGCAAATG